AACCTAATTTTACATATGAAAAACTAGATTTCAATTAACCCTGAGCAAATTCGGACTACCCTTTCCCCCTGTGTTGTTGTCTAAGACAATTTTAAACACCATAAGTTTTCGATATCTGTGAAGTTATACATATTACTTGCAGTCAGTTTTGCTATACTTAGTATTTATCAATACTTTCTCTATGTTATAATTTATATACAAAGAGACTGAAAAGTTTACTTTCTGAATAGAGTAAATTTATGCAATGCATATACATGTATGGTCTTAGGAGCAGTTGTTTTTTCATGCATTGTTGAATAGGTGATGTCACTCATTCGAATATTAAAAATGTATAGGTGATATCACCTATTTGATTTGAATAGGTGATATCATTTGTTCGAATAGGTATCAATTCGGCAATATTACCTATTCAAATAGATGATATCACTTAATGGCAGTAAATACCTCAAACGGTCCCTCATACATTTAAGGCAAATCCGACTGAATGAAGGTGTGCTTACATATTGTTCTAGCAGAGCTACACTGTAGTAAAGCAAAAAACTGACAATTCTTGACAAGTCCATTTTAAAAGAGGAAGGCGCCTAAAACGACTATGAAACACTTTGATTTTCCCAAATGGTAATATTCGATTAAATACTAGTATGAGCTTATTAGGTGCTTACTGCTATCCATAGCACATCAAGACATTTTAAAATAGTTTTGCACTTCCAAAACACGTAGAAAAAAAAATTAAATACGTTATTAAAGGAACAGAACAAAAAATGTAACCCAAATCTCCATAGGGGCATTGCTCGTGATTTCTACTATAAAAATTATTTCCAGGACTAGCAGGTATTTACGGAAGCCCATTTAGGGCCTATCAAAAAATATTTTTGAATTCGATATAACGAATTGTAGAATTTGTTATAACAAATTTAATTCGTTATAACAATTTCTTTAAATTCGTTATAACAAATTTAATCTGTTATAACAAATTTGTTGAATTAGTTATAACGAATTCAAAAATTTATTATAACGAATTAAATTCGTTTAAACGAATTCAAAAATTTGTTATAACGAATTAAATTCGTTTAAACGAATTCAAAAATTTGTTATAACAAATTTAATTCGTTATAACAAATTCAAAAATTTGTTGTAACGAATTAAATTCGTTAAATCGAATTCAACAATCGGGGCCTATAGAAAAATATGTATGAATTCGATATAACGATTTGTCGAATTCATTTTAACGAATTTAAGTCGTTATAACAAATTAGAGAATTCGTTTTAACGAATTTAATTCGTTATAACAAGTTTCAGAATTCGTTATAATGAATTTAATTCGTTATAATAAATTTTTGAATTCGTTATAACTAGTTCAATAAATTTGTTATAACAGATTAAATTCGTTATAACGAATTGAAAGAAACTGTTATAACGAATTAAATTTGTTATAACAAATTCGACAATTCGTTATATGTCGAATTCAAAAATATTTTTTGATAGGTCCTAAATGGGCTTCCGTAGGTATTCGTGTCAGTCATATCTTTACGCTCGCTCGGGGACGTTTGATGTGAAGTGAGAAAAATTATTATACACACAGATTATTGCAGAACGTCGGAAGCTTAATGCCCGTTTTTCACGATGTTCTGTAAGCCTCGGCAAGCAATCCTACCCTCCACCAACTCTCTGCAGTAAATTCAATGCAGGAAGTTTTAACAAGATGGTTTACCTGATTAGGTCTCCTTATGGTCCGTAAAGCAAGACAGAAGTGTAAACAATTTGTTTTCTTATGATGCCGGCTAAATCGATTGTTATTTATAATTAGAGCCATTAAAGCTTCCGTGAAATTGCCAACATACAACTTAAATTTTTTTTCTTTACTTTGCTTTTACATAATTGACAGTTAAGAATGAGTGAACTATTTGAACGGTTAAGACATGACTTCCATGTGCACATTACTGTGTAACTTAGTTTATCTCCGTGCCTGAAAGGCAGGGTTCCCAGTACGTTCTGAAATCCAATGAACTTGCACGATTGGTTGCTAGTGTGCATGCTTTGTATAAACTATTTATGTTGTCATCACAGATTTATACCTTCATATGTCTGGCATATTAAACACGTGTGCACTTAACAGAGCATTAACCAATTACACAGGTACCGTGATGCATATATAAAAAGACAACGTCTCCCACCCCCACCCCCTATCTTATCATTATTTGAAAAGAGTCACTTTATGTTGGCATAGCCTCCCACGTTACTGTACCTAAAAAAATATTTCATTATAGGTTTTGAAAAAAAATTCCATTTCCTTTTTAAGGTCGCTTGAGTCACTTAGGTGACTATTGCTATCTGTTTTTGTCCGTCATCTTGCAACACCCTCAGCTTATTCTCTGGAACCGCTGAACCAATTTTTGCATTGTGTATGTGTGAATGAACGGGACCAAAATTGTGAAGTTCAACCCCCAACCCTCGGGGGTGGGGAGGGGTGGGCCTTATGGGTGGTACTAAAACCATCAAAATTAATGCAGTCTTTAAAAATCTTGTTTACTCTTGGACATCAAGCGGTCAAAGTTGGTATGATTTTAATAAGCATTGAACCCTCTACCAAAATTGTGAAATGTATAGCCCCAAGGTCAGGAGTTCTAGTGTTAGTGTGGACCTCAAATGATCATATAATAAAAATGCATAAATTCTTTTAAATTTTCTTTTCTCCCTATCTTTAGCAGACAAACTAAGTGCATATATAATGAGCAAGGGTGCCTCTTCAAAATTGTGAAATTCGTGGCCCCTGGGTCAGGGGTTTTGGTGATAGGTCTCGGGTCTATTTGTTAAATAGCGGCAATGCATAATTTCTTCAAAAATCCCATCTGCTCTTAAGTACTGGTAGTAGTATTTAGCAGAGAGGCAAGTGCATGGTTATAATGAGAAAGAGTGCTTCCAAAATAGTTAAATTCGTGGCACCTGAGTCAGGAGTTCTGGAGTTAGGGCTGGGTTCTATTATGATCATTACTATTACAGACCGGCTCAGTCGATTACAATAGCGTATCTCAGAAACCTAGTTTCTGTACGTAGAGGGCATTTTCACGATAACTGACAAACGTAAGATGTTAACACTGTTAAGGACAGGATACTGAACTCGCTGCAGTTTACAATACTTAAGCATTCGATTGGATATAAAATAAACATCACTTGTCATGTGACCTAATTTTAGTTCATTACTTAAGGAAATTCCAGACTATAAAGGAAATTATACTAAGATAATGCATTTAACACGTGCTGTAAATGCATGGAAATTTGATTACCTACATGTAGAATGCGTCCAATAGCGAGTCTAAGAAAGTTGTGGTTTGATACCCCTATAATACAATGTTTATATTCATTATATACATACATTGCTCCATAAAAGCATTATCTTATATTATATATAGTATGGTCCCGCTGGAAATCAGCTTTTAGCTTCCATTGGAATACCTTGGACTTCTTGTCCATGAACCTTGACCTACTTTTCAAAAAAAAAAAATAACTTTGTTAATAATTTTTGAATGAGAGAAGATTGATTGATTGATTGTATGTTGTTTTACGTCCCATTCGAGAATTTTTCACTCATATAGGGACGTCACCATATACCGGTGAAGGGCTTCAAATTTTGACCTTAACTCGGCACTCAAGGCCATTGAGCAGTGAGGGATCTTTATCGTGCCAACGCCTGCCGTGACACGGGGCCTCAGTCTTTAAGGTCTCATCCGAAGGACCCGCAACTTTCACTTCAAAGTGCCGAGCGCATGGCGAAGGAACAGTTGCTACCCATTTTTTATCGACTTAGGTCAGTCGCGGCCGAGATTCGAACTCACGACCTCCCGATCACTGAGCTACCGTGAACGGTCAATGAGAGAAGAAAGGGTTTTATATTTCATATATGCATGATCTTAGACAAACCTTTTCAAGCATAATTTCAATCTTGACCTCATGACCTTGACCCTGAAGTGACCACTTTTCCAAAAATTAATCCTACTAATAACTTTTGAATGAGAGAAGTTACACCTTTCATATTTCACATATGCATTACCTATGAGAAGACCTTTTTAAATCCACTGTGATTTTTGACCTCACGATCTTGACCTTGAAGTATGATTATCTTTTAAAAAATTTTTTAGTAATTACGTGTAACTTGCGATGAGAGAAGATGTTCATGTTTCTTGTCTGCAAAACCTGTGACAAGACCTTTCTGAATGTACTATTGCTTTTGATCTTGAAATTTGACCTTCTTTTCGAATATTTTAACCTTAGCTGTAGCTTTTGTAGCTGAAAAGACAGGGCTTTTATATTTTTACATGTGCATTAATTACCTGTGACAGTATCATTCAAATTGTACGAAAAAGATTGGATATGCAAGAAAGGTATAATACGCCCATTGATTAATTGCATCCCAACAAAAGACCCCGTTAGAGAAGGATCACAATTCTCTAAATTTGCTTGTTATAATGAAGTTTACATGTGCATAACTTTAATGATTAAGTTATATATCCACTGAAAGTTTTAAGTATAAATTAGATTACACACTTTTCTTTTACTACTGCATGTAGATTATAATTTGGTGACACATAAATTTACTTACCCTATAGGTAATGAGTCGAAATTAATCGTGCATTTTTGTCTAAAATAGATAACGCGGTTTTTGAGGATTATACACTGTAGCAGAGACAAATAGCAAAAATGTTATTTTTGGCTCTGATTGTAGCTAAATAGCATAACTACGTAAAAAATAGCTATTGGGTGTAGCTTAGCTAGAGCAGTCATCTACGGCTACTTTTTGTAGATAGTACATGAGTGTCACATAAGGACTTCTTCCGACATGCAACCTGCTTTAAAAGAATTCGTTAAATATTGATAACAAGTATTATGTATAGAATAGCATGGTTCAAGGTGAACAGTAAAGAACATTCAGTGCTAAACGTGACAAAATAAGACACATTGAACATTGCTATCATGCATCTCTATACCTCATTCATCTCACTTACTTTCTGTTTGGCGGACGCAAGTTGTAGCCTCCGTTTGTTCTGATCGTCTTTTTGATTGTGTTTTAACCATATGTGATATCTAATTGTCGTGTAACAAAACATCATGACGACCATCGGGGCAAAATAATGTAGGACCATGATCCCTACGCTATAAGCGTACCGCCCTCTCTCATTACCCTCCCAAATCTCAAGGCACTGGCCACTCGTGTTCGAATAATACTTAATCCGGGCATTGAACAATGTAGGGATAGGGATAGACAGAGATAAAATCCAGATAATGATAATGATAAACAACGTATACTCTGTAGTTATTCTTTTCTTAAATGGATGTACAATCACTATGTATCGGTCTACGCTCATTGCCATAAGTGTATAAGCACTCACAAATACAGACACTATTTGGAGGTAGCATACGGTCGGACACATTAACTCTCCAAATGGCCAATAATTAAGCATTAGATTGGCCACAAACGTAAATGGAATGCAGAAAATCGCCATTATAATATCACTTAAGGCTAAATTGACGATGAAATAGTTTGGGACCGTCCTCATCCGCTTATAAGCATACACCAAATAACACACGATACTGTTTCCCCCTACTGCAATCACTATAATAAAGGAATACATCACGATGAAGAGCGATTGTAGAAATGTAGAGATCTGTGGCGCCGATTGTACTGTGTCATTTATACTGACGTTCATTGTTTCCAAGATGAAAATTTAGAATATTTCATAAATCAGCGGTTCATTCTCCCTCACTCCTTAGTGTCCAAAGACGATTAGCCGCTGAAACATTGTTAGATCCTAAAGCGTTCTTTTCCCGTTATTCCTAAGAATTTCTCTCCATTGACTGAGCCTGTTATATCAGTCAGCCCTTTCCGTATGATTTAACATTTAAATGCATTATCGTTGAGATGTCTGAGACAAAGCTAAGATACGCTTAGAGATAGAAAGGATTATAAACTTCATAAAGCACTGGACACGTGATTGGAGTCTTCAGTGTTTTTCTTCAGGACCATTAGAAACTCGCGAAAGCACTGTCGATGATGTAGTATTACATCTTATAGTACGACTGGTGATCAATCTCTAAACTTTATCTGAGTTCCTAGTGTCAGAGATTCTCTTATTTCACTCCACGTCAAATTAAATCGATCGCCATTAACTTTTATATCGACAAAGTAATGAAGTGGCTATTCGTGATCGGATATATTACTATATTAAATATAAATAATGCAATTTTTCTGCAGGAGTGTACATTATATTAATTCGAAGTGTTAAATCTGATATAAGACTTGCATAAAGTGGCGTTTGTATTGTTACTTACACTGTAAAAATTGCGTTTAGGAAATAAACACTTCTATTACATGTTTAGATCTAAACGTGTATAGTATTGTGTTTAAGAACTAAACACTTATGTCTTAACATGTTTTATATCTAAACGCGTTTAGAAATTAAACACGTTTTACTGTAAAGTGCAGAGTTATCTTCCCGGAAATGACACACATATTTGAACGTTAATTCGAGCGGCTATCTAAACAAAGAAAACACAACAAGCTAAGGTGATGTATCAATGAGAGTTATGACAACCCAATTCAAGGGATAACCATGACGAAATAGTGAAATACGTGAAAGGGCATCTTGTTACTGCAATACATTAAAGGTTTGTTTTCTTCTTCTTTGCATTTATTAACCACGATGAATGAGCAACGTAAATAAAGTTGACTTGGGATATCTTGAATTCGTTCATAGACTTGCAGGATAGGAAATATTATTAAATGTCATTAAAACATCTATATTTATATCAGTGTAGTTTCACTTAAATTGGAACAATTTTGTTTTTCCAAGCAATGTAAAATATCAGTGATAGTGTACTTTTTCTAAATTCTGGCTTTCTTTCCTACAGGCACTGTAGTCCAGATCGAACTCAAAATACACGTATCAGAGTACCTGGTGTCATCTTCAAGTGCAATTTTTTTGTTCCATAATCAACACTTTGAAACTTCATTTGTTGAAGACTACTGTGTTAATTCGACAGTGTTTACAATTATCCTTGTGCATTCGAAATGGATTACTTTCTGACAGTTATTGATGGGATATAGGTTATAATATGTGGTGCTTTGGGACTTGCTGAAAGTTAATAAAATTTGATATTTTTTGTGATTGACAAGGGGAAAACTCTGCAGCCGATTCAAATTATAATGATTTTAATAAATATGTACATAAATATACAATTTGTATTTTTAATGCGACAATTCTTTAATAAAGTGTTTTAGAAATATTCAATGAAGTTTTGATATTAAATTGTCAGCTTAATATTATTTTCTTAATAATTTTGAAGATTAAAAGTTTGATATCTATGTATACGTTATAAATTATGTGTCATCCTGATTGAATTGTTGAGACTAATCAAATCTTTTCAGTTCTATCTCCTACATTATTTGTGTAAATTAAGTACATGTACATCACACAGTGTCCATTCTATTGTTTAATCAAATACATATCCCAACGTTCAGTAGCTTTATGGAAAATAATTAATATTGGTTACATATTTTGAAAATTTTGACAATTATGCACATTTAAAAAACATATACCTTTTGTGCCTAAATTTACGAGAGTGTTTTGTTTTTCTGCAGGTCCAATTTAAACTTATGATGTGTTTAGATTTTAAACACATCTGCTGTTATGTGTTTAGAATTTAAACACTTGTGTTTATGTGTTTACATGTGTTTAATTTCTAAGCACACAAGTGTTTAAATTCTAAACACTTTTTAAGACATGTTTAGGAATTTTACATGTTTAGAAATTAAACATATAAAAAAGGAGGTGACAAGAAAGTGTTTAGAAAAGTGTTTGAATTGTAAACACATTTTTTACAGTGTATGTGTGAACTATACGATACAGTTAAGGCAGTGCCTTTATTACCTCGAGATATTAAAACACAACTTCCCAACGTAATCATATCAAGAAGAAACACCAGCCACCAGAAGACCGCAGGCCATAGAGACTTGTAAGAGGATTTTTATTATTCCTAAGCTGAGTTATGAAAACACAAACAAGCATATGCACTCCATTTTCTGATAATACAAACTTTGCTGGCGATAAAATGTCGTAACGGCAGCTCTAACATCGTTGTTCCAGAGAGTTTATTTTTTTCGAGCTATAATTGTCTTGTGTTATATCAGAAGAACTCTATGTATCTATTATCAAAGTTATTTTAAATACTTAAGGAACAAGAGCCTCATTGGCCACAACGCTCATCTGAGTCAATATGACCTCTGCTGTTCTTCATCAAAAGATTTTTTTCTATAATATATACCTTTGTAAAACTTTGATCACTATTGTGACCCAACCCTAACCCCAGGTGTCATGTATACATGTAGCCCCACCCTACCCCTCGGAGTCATGATTTGAACAAACTTGAATCTACACTACTTCAAGATAATTCCATATCAATGTGACTAAACATGGCTTTGCTGTCCTTGAGAAAAAGATTTTAAGATTTTTTTCTTATACATCCATATCTGACAACCAAATTGATTTGCAGAACAAACTAAATCTATTGAATAAATACTGTAATAAGTGGTGTCTAGAAGTAAATTGCAACAAAACAAAAATAATCATTTTTAACAAAAGTGGCCGTCTAATTAAGGAACCTTTTTTTCTTGGAAATAAAGAAATTGAATGTGTCAAAAGGTATAAATATCTGGGAATAGTACTATATTCATCCGGCTCCTTTAAAGAAGCAAAAGAAACATTATTTAAAAAAGCTTTGAAAGCCTCCTTCAAACTCCACAAAGATATGAAATCATCAGAACCATCTATAAAAACTCAGCTACACCTTTTTGACCACTTAATCAAACCAATATCATCATGCAGCTGTGAAATTTGGGGCATGTTATCTAAATACAACATTGAAAAAAATAAAGACATTTACACTATATATAAAGATTGGGATGTAGAGAAATTGAATACCAAATTTTGTAAATTTATTCTTGGTGTTGGTAAAAAGAGTACAAATATTGCTATTCTGTCTGAACTTGGTAGATTACCCATGCTTTGTTCAATCATCATTAGTTTACTATCTTATTGGCATAGATTAGAAAATATGTCAGAATCATCTTTATTACATTGTGCATATAATGAGTGCAAAAATCTTACTCAGTCTGACATCAATAACTGGTATGGCACTGTTAAATTTTTATGTAACAAACTAGACCTTAATTTACTTGTATGTAAACAGTTAAATATGACCACATATAAAGGACTACTGAAAAAACTTATCAAAAAGCATTTTTACCAATACTGGCTTAAAATACATAATGAGGGTCAAATACATGGAAAACTTGATACATATTTTTTGTTGAAGAATACCTTTGCCATTGAGAAATATTTGTCTTTAAAGTCTTTTGAACAGAGGAAAATACTGTGTAAATTCAGAATAAGTGCACATGAATTGAGAATTGAACGTGGTAGATATGAATATACAAAAGATATTATTGGGAAAAAGATCCCTCTAGAAAGAGGTCGACGGATATGTACTCTTTGTAATTCAAATTGTATTGAAGATGAAATCCATTTCCTTACAAATTGTTTTTTATATAATGAAGAAAGGAAAGTTTTGTTCAACTTTTTAAGCGACAATTATAAAAATTTCAACACTCTGTCCAACAATCAAAAATTTTTATGGATTATGACAAATGAAGATCACAATATATTATTTAAACTATGTGACTTTTTATCCAAATCTTTTATTAAGAGAAAAAACCTCATAAAAAAATAATAAAAGTAAAATTGTTAGAAAATACATAATTTTTCAATTCATGTGTACTTCAGTCTTTACTACTAATGTACTTAGCATTTTTTTATATTCTATCTTATAAACATTAAGTTTGAAAATGCATGTGCATTAATTGTCATCTTAATGTTGATGCCCCCTACCACTATATATATATATATATATATATATATATATATATATATATATATATATATATATATATATATATATATATATATATATATATATATATATATATATATATATATATATATATACATACATACATTGAAGAGTCATATGTCTATTTTATGTATATGTTTATATAGGTGCATGTATGTCTAAATGACTTTTTTTTCTTTCTCTCTTTTTCTTTCAACTATATTTTAGGCCTTTCTCTTGTAAGTTTGTTCTCTTTATGCTCATTTGGGCACTGAATTAGTAATAAAACATATCTTATCTTATCTTATCTTATCATCCATATGGATCATGATTTGAACAAACTTGAACACTTCTACACTACCTGAGGATGTTTCTATCTCACTGACAGTATGACTAAACATGACTTTACTGTTCTTGGAAGAAGATTTTTGAAGATTTTTTCCTATATATTCTTATGTGCCCCCCTAAAAACCTTCCGCCACAAAATATAGTTCCTCAGTTAATGCTTTCGGTATGGAATGTGATCATGGGGTTTTAATTGAATATAGTTTAATTAGCATTGTAGAATCCAAAGAACAAGGTATGGTTTCAATACAAATCTTGCCCTGTGTTTTTCTTAAAAATAAAAGTGATGTAAAAAATTAAAACTCATAATTTTTGAATTATTGAAATTCCATGCAAAAAGATCATACAAATCTTTTTTCTCACATGACCTTCCAAATACTAATTGTGACGTCATAAACTTGTGCATTTTCCCGTTTTTTCTTAAAAAGTTGCAGAAGACATCAATTTTCAATGGAATTTTCT